CCCAAAAAAAAAAAATGGGCGTGTAGGGCTTTTTCAGCCCTACACGCCCATATTTTTTTAACTTTTGTTTTCACATAAAAAATGGCGGAAAAAATCCATGTACGGAACTCGGCTGGTCGGCCCAGGCCGAACCGGGCCGATTCGGTCATCGGCCTAGGCCGCGGCCGATTCGGACCCCCTGACAGCGGCCGGGCGTGCAGCATAGCGACCTGCTAGTGATAGTGAGAGCAAGGATGATGGCGAGCAGCACCCCAATGGCCGACAGTTACTGTAATCACTCACACTTCAGGGAACCTAGGGCTAACTCCACTGTACTCCACAGACATCGAGAAAGCCGACGCCTCTCAGGCCGAAAGCCACGTGCAGCAACGCAGCGGCAATGGAGCAAAACGTGGAACTCCCAGAAACTGAACGCCACCGGGAGTCAGACCACCTGGCATGTCAACTCGTAAGATGGTGTGGTCAAGCGCCTGCGGTCTCCTGCGCGTGCGCTAAGCGCCAGGACTTCAAAAAAGGCCGCCATCTCCAGGAACACGTAATGTCGGGCGGGGCGCAGCGCTCCCGGTAGCGCTGCGCCCCCCGAGCCACATTTCCTCTTTTCTCTAGTAAACAGCCAACGTGCTACCTAAATGAAAAGATATTAATGTTGCCCCTCGCGACGCTCAGCTGAGGGGTCACATCAGCTTACCCAGCGTGACAAAAGCGAGAAGACAAGCTTCGAGTGACGTTTCCACGTGCGGAGGCAAACAAGATTTTTCCTGCATATTCCTTTATTTAGTTGTTTATCATTTAAACGTTCGACCCGATTGGAACAGACGAGTGTCAGCCAGAGCTCGATCTCAAACTTGACAGCGGTCTGTTTCTCTTATGAGTGAGGGCTAGGAGCGCTGGTCTATCGTGTAAAGTGCAAATGGTGGAGGTTTGGCAAAGCACCCTACCCAACCCAAAAATGGAGGTGGGGTTTTCGACGAACAGGTAAAAGGAGAATCGCTATGGCATGTGCTTATTCCTGGCGCGGACAGGGAACACTCATATTTGACTTTGTTATCGACTCTACACTTAGAGCAGCGGTATCGACCTCAGACAAACTCTTGCACTCGAAATCATCGTGATGTGAACATTTAGAACTTGAAGTCCAGAACCGTTGCTCTCGAGTACTGGACCCTTAATGGGAGGAGTTGTTGTTAGGATGTCAGTACTCAAGAGTTTTGTTCTCAACATGGTACCCTTACGGTCCTCACCATCACTGAGTGGTACTGGGAGCATTGTATTCAGGGTTTTTGGAAAAAAAACTAATACTACTCGAGCAGAGTCTTAGTAGGTCCCATATAAGATATCGTCCTTCTCACAACGGTCAATTCGGCCAGGCTTGAGAGGTCTGTTCTGATTAGTTTTGTATCGTGCTTTCGCAAAATCAAACAAACGGTTTAACCCGTCGGTGACGATGATGTTTAGTAATCAGCCAGTCTTGTACCCAATGGTAGCCTAAATTTGTTCCTAGTGTCAGTCAACCATACTTAGGGGGCCACTAATTACTTCAGTCTCGGAACGGATATAGTCTCAACAGGCTTATAAGCGCTGCCCTGCTCTTGCCACTTGGGACCCAAGAAAGGACATGGCGGCTAGTAACTAAGGGCTCGACGTTGAAATGCCATCATGAAGCTCCTTGCATTCAGTTGACCCCCTTGAAGCATCAGGCAATGGGCAAATGTGTCCTATGGTCCCATACAGTCCCGGGACTGGTTTTGGTTATCATCTAGTCTTATGGGAGCGAAAGTTCCTGGACTGCTAAATCTCGGAAAAAGTAATTGTTGTTACGGTAGGGAAGAAGTAACCGTGCATTGGCTGACCTTCTGCTGATGATGGGTTACTAGTCCTGGGATCCAGTTATTGGGTACAGTAGTGGGCCATCACCGGTAATAAACATCCAGATGGTCAGCCTATTCCTTCCTAACCAGCAAACCCACTACGAGGGTAACTAAGTGGCATGGAAAATCTTAGATGTTGGTGAATGTTTCAACTGTTCTAATTATCCACCAGGGAAACGAGTTACCTGTTCAGAGGCACACGGCAGATAACAAAAGGAAAAGAAGCATAACAGGAAACTGGGATGACAGAATACTCAGCGAGATTGAGGGCTATAACAAGTGGATGAGAAGTGTCGCGGTTGAGAGGGTGGGGAACCAACAAAATACAGTGAGTACCTGCTTTTCGTTTATGGATCTGATGGGAGATTGCGTGGCACAGTCTGTTCGCCCGAGACTGTGCAAAGGGCAAGGAAAGTGATTCAGTCTCTGAGTGTAGGAGACCGAGGAAACTCTCATCCAAGGTTTCTAGCAGGACTTCTTCACCGGAGTATTCAGCTCCAACTTGCGTACAGTATTGGTGCGGTGAGCTTCAATCAGGTCTGTTTTTTTCCCTGGCAAAGCTCTCAGTGTGGGTTTCATACGTAAACATAACATCTGAAGTCAGCTATCAATGTCAATCGTGATACAATGTTCTCAGGAGACGACCTATGACCAAGTCCACGTGCTAGCAAAAATAAGAGTGAGAGGACAATCAATGTCGAAGTATAGTGGAAGACATTCAACCTCAACTCTATTTCCTCTAAGGAGCCTCTTAGTGACCAGTAATTTATGATTCCTCGCAGATTTCAATAATCAGTGGTTTGTTATCCAGCAGCTTCCCAAACATTTGGGGTATTGTCGGTATTAATACTCATCATTATCCGGTTACCATCATCTAACCCTCGGATTTGACTCAATTAGCCAGTGCATCCATCCGTGATAGCCAAATTAGCCCTTCATTGATCACTTTCAAGCAGAACCTCTATCTTTCTTTCCATACAGTTAAACCAGAGATTTTTTGTGAGCTAAGCATGAGAGAGAGGTTATGAACAACAACGACTTTGAGTCTGAGACCAGTTCTTCTCTGAGTACAGAGCCCACCAAGGCAAGTTGCATTATATCATATTCATCGCTTGAGACCTAGAGCATGGGGGAATCATGAGGGATGACAAAGTCCTAGTGATGAAATACAGATCAAGCAGAGACAAGAAGGAAGGATGGGAAGAAGATGCATGTCGAGACATGGAATCGCATAGGCAGCCTCGGAGAGAACAGACAGTCCGAATGGTCAGAGAATAAAAATATATCAAATATGTGTTTTATTTTTATGGCCACGACGGCAAGTTGCACAACACTGGCTCGTTTCTAGAGACGGTGGAGCAGGCCCAGGGCAAAGCTCAGGTGAGCACAAAGGTGTACAAACTTCCCCACCATCATTTCAACTACCGAATGTCACCCTGCAATCTTCTGTTCTCTCAACCTCTTGCTATTAAGTGATCAATATTCAGTGACCTGTTTTCTTTTCCCAGTAAACATTCAACCATCAGAATTGCCAGAAAACTTTAGTCGGAATCAATTAGTGTTCATTCATTCATCGTCTGCCTAGAGACCAACATCAATCGGATAGTGATTTCATCACGAGACACAAGATCGGTTTCAACATCCACCCCTGCACATGAGTATCATTCAGTCATTCTCACGTCAGGAGACTATCTTGACCAGTCTCAACAAGGTTGCTTCTAAAGATGCCTTCCATTACCGGTGTATCAGTGCAAACGACTTTAAACGAAGAGATATGTCAATCTTCGCTGTTCTCACCAGTTTTGCAGCAGATGCCGTCTATGACCTGAGGCTCTACGTAAAGGAGGGTAAAGAAACCCATAAACTCTTTGAATCGGTCTGGATCTCAGCAGCAAAGTACCTTGAAGGGAAAGAGAGGGAGCTTGGTGAGAGTGGTGTCAAACTGATCCGCAACTTTGGACCCAAGCTCTATACCGACTACCCCAAGTCGCCAGCTCCCTTCGTCCTCACATATGGTTCTTGTTGGGGAGACTTGGTTGATTTAGCCAATAGTACGTCTCTCCCGCAGAGGCTGACTACGAGGCAGTTACCGAGTCGTCAGAGTTCAGGCATCTCAGACGAGGGATTTTCCTCCGGCCCTATCTTCCTACCCTGTGGGAGGAGTTCGGTGCTATGGTCGATTTTCGTGTCATGGGTCTTGGATGAAAGTGCTCGGCACTTGCAGGCTTTAGGTGGCTCTTCATTCAAAGGTCACAGTCCCAGGAGGTACCTAGGCATGGCGCGAGGCACAAGAGACGCACTGTCAAA